CCCTCAACCTCATCTCAACTACAAAAAAACTAACAATCCACCAGTTCGACCCCCCACCCCAACCCGACATCCAATCCTACATCCAAATCTTCTCCCCCAAAACCTCCACCCCGCACGCCCTGAAATCCCACCTCGCAAACGCCAAAAAATCCTCCCTCCGCTTCCTCTCCGCCTCCCACCTCCTCGCGCACCGCTACATCCACCCGTCCCTCCCCCACCTCGCCTCCCTACCCAAATGCAAAAACCCGCAGACCTCCCTGCCCCCCAACCCCTCCCTCGACTTCTGGTCCTGGTCCGCCCTCTCCCTCCAATACCTCGGCCCCGTCCCCTCCCAACCCTTACAATCCCACCACGTCCTCCCCATCCTCATGCACCACTTTGGCTGCGCCACACCCTCCCACGAAGCCCTCTCCATCATCCGCCTGCTCGCCTCCGGCCGCGCGGTAGCAGACATTGGGTCCGGGAACGGGTACTGGACGCACATGCTCCGCGCTTACAACCTCACGGTGTACCCGGTGGATAACCTCCAATCAGAGTGGCGGACGAACTGGGTGTCCGATACGATCCCCTCCGACGGCGTCTCCTTTCTTACCTCCCATCAGGGCGGGAAAGATATGGTGATGCTATTAGTCTACCCCGTCGTAGGCGGCTCCGTCGCGGGCGGGACGGAAGGGAGTTTCACGCGCGGGTTGGTGGAGGCGTATAAAGGCGATACGATTGCCGTCGTCGGAACGCAGAATGGGAACGGGTATACGGGCTTTAAAGGGATGACAATGGCGGAGTATATGGCGAAAGAACAGCCCGACTGGGTGAGGGTGGTACAGATTCCGCTGCCGAGTTTCGCGGGGAAAGATGAAGCGTTGTTCGTTTTTCAGAGGGGGGAGAGGGCGCCGCCTAGGGATGGGGGGTCGGGAAAGGAGGACGAGGGGGTGAAGGATGCGTAGATGTAGATGAGAATACAGTGTTGCGTGTAATCAACAATCAGCCTGGCAACTCATACAAATATCAAATACCAAAGCTCACAGTGAACAGACGTAAACCGAAAGAAGTGATTCTTAACTACCAAAATTCTATGATTCCCTTCATTCCCATTGCCCTCCGAGAAGGAAAAAAAAAAACAGGCCAAGAGAACAAACCGTCCACAAATCTCATCATCCGACATGTGCCATCCGCACTTCCCAAAATGCCCGCCGGGAAACAAGCATATCCTTACCAGCAAGTACGCTCTCCGACGCCTCTCAGAATCGGGGGGGAAAAGAAACAAGACGAAAAGAGTCAAGTCGCAGGAGAGGATCAGAAAAACCGGAAAATGAAACCACCTTCTACCCCCAGAAAGAGCAGAGAAAAAGAAAAAAAAAAATGTACCTAGAAGTAGGAAGCAGAGAGAGGCAGTCGGAAAAGCGTCGCAGACTCCATTCCACTCCATCCAGCCTCCTTCCATGTAAACGATTCAACCACTGACAAAAATCAACAGACTGATGCCGCGCGAGAAAAGAAGAAAAAAGAAAAGTAGAAAGCCTCCTCATATCTTGTCGTAGGGGTCCAAGGCGTCGTAGCAAAGCCCGTATACTCTTTGCTTTGTCAAGGAACGGAAATTTTTTGCGTGACAAAATGCTTCTTTTTTCTGACCAAAACATCATCCTCCCACCCTCCAGGAAAAGTAAATGATAAATCCGTCATCCATCGTAGAGAAGAAGAAAAGTTTTGTTTTTTGTCATCGTCAAGTCGTCAACCTAGGAAATCCATCTACCCTCATCTGCAAGTAGAGTGTTACTTTTTTACGTCATTTCCTGGTCCTAGCCTCTCTTTTTTTATAAACTTGTCGTAGTGCCGGGCACGTTATGATACAAAATGGGCACCCTTTTTTGTTGCGTGTAGCTGTGTGCGGTGTGCGTGTGGTCGTGAGACGTCGGTATTAACGATGTGCGGAAACGAGATTGAAAAGCACTGAAAACGTTTTGACGGGGGGTCATGGTGACTTTCGCTTTGATGATGCTGAATGTTGAGGTCCATGGCGAAAAAAAGGAATGCGGTCATGTGCGTAGTGAGAAACCCACACTAGTAAAACGTATAGTCGCTAGGTCGAGCGGATGAGTTCAACAACAGACGTTATTTACTCATCAGCCTCTCCCTTTCTCATTCTCTCGTTCCACTTCCGCTTGCCGACACGAGTCTCAAAGTGAGGAACGAGCGTCTTGACATCCTGCATGATGGATTCAATAGCAGTACGCGTCTTGTTGCGGTAGCAGTCCACTAATAACTCATGTCAGCTAACTCACTCTCTTCTCAAACTCAACATGACAAAAACTTACGAGCTCTCTGGAGGAAGACTGTCCGTCCCGCAAACACTCTGCTCTGCAGCCAAGCCATGCGGTATCCGAGGTCGTTGAGTCGCACCTCCTTACCTCGGACACTCTTCCTCATGCGAGGAATGGCGACCTCGCCTTCGGTGTTCTCACCAATAGGAACCTTGACCATGGACTTGCTGTTTCCACGGCCTCGGCGGGAGCCACGACCCTCGGTATCTTCAACACCATCGTCCTCCTCATCGGCATCCTCCTGGAAGAACTTGGTGCCGGTGGCGGACGGCGGTGGGCTCTGCATCTCGCGCGGGAAGTACGACCGCGGGAAGACGGAAGCGCCCTTGCGGAAGGAGTCGGGAATCTCCTTGGTATCAACACCGTCGAGCGTGACTCTAACACGCAGACGCGAACCGCGGACATTGTCCTCGACGAGGATGAACTTGCGCTTCTTGGCCTCGGGGATGTTGGGGAACAGATCCTCGGGCTCGCCGTTGTCGCTACGGCTGTGGCGGCGGGCAGAGATGGCGCCTGCGTGGGAGCTGCTGCCCATGTGCGGCATCGAGCCGGAGCTGGGTGCCGGGTAGCCTCCGTGACCGCCGTAGCTTCCGGAAAAGACCTGCGACTGTCTGACGTCGCCACCCTCCTGGCCAGCGGGGGCCTGGTGGTGGTGATGGTGTTCGTCCATGTATTCGCCATCGCCTATTTCAAGACAGTAAATGTCAGCCAACGTTACAATGAAGAAAGATTGGAAACTGGTTTCGGGAGGACGTATGCAGACGAGCGGAGTGTGGGAGGGGTAAACATGTTTGATCGACAACCCTGACAACACAAACCAACGGCAACGCGAAACGCTCAAGACGACAAAGGGAGGATCGGGATGGGTTTGTTGCTTTTTCTTTCTGGAGGTACAAGAGTGGCATAAGAGTAGGTCTTTGGGACAGGCAGGACGATTTTTCTTTTTTACGGGAAAAAAAGTCCTCCCTTATCCAAAGCCATGCTATTGGGACGCAGAAGGATTGGGGATGGAATGCCAAAAACGCTAAGCAATGCGACTTTTTGCCGATGTCTCTTCTAAGAGGCATCGCATCTTGTTGCCCGACAAACTCGGGTCAGGTGACTAACGACAGCAACAGCAGCAACTGCGTGCAGCGCAACTATGGTAATGTACAGATCTGTGCCGTAGAGAAAAGGAAATCCCTCTCGACCCGCGGCGAGCTTTGCTGTATCGTGGTGGCAAGTTGCTTTGATGCGGCCGAAAAAGCCCGGCGCTATACAACAACAGGAGGAGCGCAAGAAAAATGACAAAAAAGTGCAACGAACCCATTCCCGAGACGTCTGACCAACTAGCAGAGTAATAATGTAATAAAGGCACAGAGGTAAAAAAATTTGTATGTGTTTGGTGGTGATGAAGCTCGTGTCCGCTCTAGGATCACGGCCGACAAGACTGGTGGTGATGAAAGGGGGGAAAGGTATCACATAATCAACGATCTTTGGGGGTTGTGCCGGGCAGTGGTGTGTATGTGCGATGCAACGACAATCAACAACAAACAACGACTGGGCTCGCAAACGCTGCAGATGCGGAGGGCTTCTTAATCACATCTGGTGAAACATACCGACTTCATCCCCTCCACCCGGAGCGTTGGTGTGCGGCATATGACCCATGTTCATTCCAGGCATCTTGGCTGATGCACCCGCGGGGCCCATGCCACCCGCACCTTGAGCCATCCCTGGCGGACTGGGGCCGCCCATGTGAGCAGGGTGAGGGCCGCCCTGAACCGATTTCCGGGTGTTCATCTTCGCCATTCGGCGCACTCTTCGGCTTCGGAGCCGGGGGTCTTGGTTGCTGTTGCGCCAGCTGTCCACGGCGCGCTGGATAAGACCTCTCTTGCCGCGCAGAGGAGGGTTCAGCTGAGCAAGAGCCCATCCGACCGTGTTGCACTCGGTCTCGTATACTTGGCGGTTGCCTCGGTATTGGTCCTTGGGGCAGCAGGCTCTGGGGTAAACGCAGTTCTCCGTCTTGAACTCGGCAGAGAGCTCGTCCGTGTTGACCGACTCAACATCGCAGCGGATGGTGTACTCCATCTTGACGCGGTCGCGAGAGTATTCAAACGCGATCCATTGAACGCCGTTCTGATCTTGTCTAACAACCAAAGGCGTAGTGGCCGGGATGGGGCCAGGCGCCGCGTTGGGGTTGACACCGCCAGGAGTCGATCCTGTAGGGGTGTTCAGAGCAGCGCCGTTCTGGGGGTGCTGCTGATGTTGCATGGGAGTCGTCTGGGGCTTCTGGAGCTGCAGCGGCACCTGGGGCTCCGTCTTCATCTGGCCGCGCGGGCTGTTGGTCATCTGGGCCTGGTGTTGTTGCGCCTGGTGCTGGGGCATGTGTTGCTGCTGCTGCTGGGACTGCGCAGACATCATCATGTTGGGCTGCGAAGACATGGACTGGTGCGTCTGGGCCTGGTGTTGCGCGTAGGGAGACTGTTGGGGTTGCGCCTGCATCGACGGGTAGTGGGCTTGCGGCGTCTGGTAGTACATGTGCTGCTGGAGAGGTTGAGACGGCGGCTGGCCGTAGATGCTTCTGTGCTGGTCATGTTGAGAAGGCGAGGCTACCGACGCGGGCGAGTTCGACTGAGGTGTGTGGTAGGACATGGGAGGGTAAGGTGGTCTCGGCATTTGAGCGGCGGCCATCATGTCGGATTGGTCTGCTATTCAGTGGTTAACGGTTGTGAACTTTTGAAGCTGTCGCGAGAGAGAGAGAGAGAGAGAAGAGGCAAAAAGACGCGTCTTTTTCTCGGTGTTTGGCGCGTCTTCTGCGCGCGACTCTCTTGTGGCAGGCGCAGAGCAAGGTAAGGATAGCAAAGGAAAGAAGGAAAACTCACCAGCGGATGTGTATCCGCTTGTCGCGCCTGGGGTACTGTAGGGGCTCGGATGAGCGTAGTAGGGAAGGCCGTCCTGGGAGTGCTGCTGGGCGTTGGATGGCTGGCTCTGCTGCTGCTGGTAGGCGGGAGCAATTGGATGTCCGGCGGAGGCGTAGGAGGGATGCTGCTGCGACTGGGCCTGGGGATGATGCTGTTGATGAACAACGCTCGAGGGTCGAGGATGTTGCTGGTGCTGCTGCAGATGTTGCTGCTGCTGCTGTGTAGGTGCGTGACCCTGGGGCTGATGGTGGGGGTGATGCTGCATAGAGAAAAGACCCATTAGTCCCTCGTCCAAGAAACGCTTCGACGTATTAAGTTGACTGGTGACAAGCAAGAAGGAGGAAAAAACAAAGTGAGGCAAGGCAAGGCGCGGCGCGTCTGTATTTTTATTTTTTGCACCTTGACACTGTCAGGGGACTGGGGGCATCCAGGTGCAGGCAGGTGCGGGTGGTGAGAAGTGGTTCCTGGCTGCCCCTGGGAGTCCTGGGAGTCGACGAGGATCACGCGGGTGAGGCGTGCTAGACCCAGTTCGGGACCCCTTTCTGTGATAAAGAAAATGTGGATATTCTTTTGGGGAAAAGAAGAGGAGCAAGGCAAGGCAAGGCAGGCAAGCAAAAGGATGGATGGATGGGCTCCAGACCAAGATGCAAGGTCGCCGTACTACGGCGCCGCCAGATCGGAGAAGCGAGGGCAGGGGGGGTAGACACACTCACTCACTCACTCACA